TATTCACCGTTGGATGGTTGGGCAGATTCGTGAGATGAAACTCCGGTTATGATTTGCCATGATTTTAAACGTGGGCCAAACCATTGGGCCCAGCCCACCTTGAGATCCATAAATCAAACCCGAAGGCCGAACCTGACCCGCCAAATCCAACGACGTCGTATTAGAGAATAAGATTTTTAGCTTTCAGCTAGCTTGGGAAAAAAGCTTTCGTTTTTCCTCTTCTAATAAATCCATCGCAGTAGCCCACTATAGTCTGATTCTGATATACACAAAGGTAGAAGGAAGACCCAGAAAGCCCTAAGCAGAGAAGAAGAGGCAGAAGCTCAGAAATCGAAGCATTTCAAACATGAGTCGTGGAAGTGGAGGCGGATACGATCGTCACATCACGATTTTCTCGCCCGAAGGTCGTCTATTTCAAGTCGGTAAGTGACAATATCCCAATACCTCCATTGATGTTTCTCCAGTCTCAATCTCGAACAGCGCCTCAAAGAGAGCTGATTTGTGGGTTTTGGGTATTTTAGGGTTTTATGGGTCAATGAGATTAAAGCCCATTTCAATTTTTGTTTGTTTGTTTTGTTTTAATGATGAAATCTGAGGAGAAGAGGGGAAAAATCACGATTATGAATCTCGTTCTGTCTAATACAAGATGAAAGGAAAAAGGAGAAAGTCGAATGATTAATTTGTTTGTATTAGTTTCACTTTGGTGTGTAACACTAGCGAGCTCAATTACATATCAGTAAAATTAAGTTGCTCAATTTATCCAGATTTATGGTTTCTCGGGCTCATGGGCTGAAAGCCCACTTAATTTCGATAGTTGATTTGATCCCTTGTTTGGATGCCGAGATTTCTGAGGGAAATAGCAGAAATTACAAATTTAAATATCATTTTTCATATTACCAAAACAAAATGTTTAAAAAAAGAAGAAAAGAATTTCAGATTGGAATGGGGTGTAAGAATATAATATGTTTTTGTGTTAATGTTGAGTAGCACATAAGGGCCCTTCTGTTCTGAATTCGCTTTTTTTATGATTGATAGAGTATGCATTTAAGGCTGTTAAGGCTGCTGGGATCACCTCAATTGGTGTCCGGGGAAAGGATTCTGTATGTGTTGTGACTCAGAAGAAAGTCCCGGTGAGTAGTATTGGTTGATTGAACTGAGTCTTAACTTTAGTATGGATGGAATTTGTGCGGGTTATAAATAAATTGTGAAATTAATGCAGGACAAGCTTTTGGATCAGACAAGTGTCACACATCTTTTCCCCATCACAAAGTTCCTAGGGTTGCTGGCTACTGGCATGACAGGTTTCTTTTTTGCTCCTTCTGGAAGCTTATTGGAAGCGCTAACTCAAACAGTTCATTTGACGAATTTAGATACTTATGTGCTTTTGTTGTTCACAAGCTCACATTTGGTTCATTCTTCTGGCATGTAATTTTCTAGCTGATGCAAGGACCCTAGTTCAGCAAGCAAGGAATGAAGCAGCTGAGTTTCGATTCAAATATGGATACGAGATGCCAGTAGACGTACTGGCTAGATGGTAATTACTTTATAACTGTTTACACCATATTATGTTACTCTATAATACAACTGAACTTTTAGCTTGCAGTTTTAGAGTACTCCTATGATGTATTATGTTTAAAGTTAAAAGTGTTTAATTGCATCCATTTATGTTGTGCACTTGTTGAGGCTTTTTTATTTTGGGCCAGTGCAGTTGCTGATTTTAACTGCTCAAAAAGATTTTTCACCCCTTCCCCTTATTTGGATATGTAGAATGATGGACTCCATAATGGGATGACATGGTCCCATGGAATCTTGGACTTGTGTAGTGATAATTTTAAATGACTCCTCTCTCTCTCTCTCTCTCTCTCTCTCTCTCTGTAGGAACTGAAGACAATTTCTTTTATATTTCAAGAGAGCAAAACAAAAATGAATGGGCTTGTTTCCACCCCCTCCTTAGAAGTCATTTTACACGGGGTAAATTTGACTTAAATTTTTTGAAGATAAGGTGGGTGGGAAAATAGGACACATGGTGGAAATAGCAGCACCCTACTAAATTTTAATTTTGTCAATTTAGTAACTGTATTAGGATTCGGTCTGATTGGATTCAATTTAGATCAAAAGAGCATACTAAATTTGTGTAATATTACGGTTCGAATTATACACTTTATCCTTATACTAGAAGTATAATCAAATCAAGCCAACCTATTTAGTAATTGATTTGATTCAGTCATTTGATTAAACAATCAATTGTAGTTCCTCTAGTACATGTCAAATAGAAATTCATGTTGTATTCTTTGACATAGATTGAACCGAATTAAATCAAACAATTGTGATTTGGTTTGATTCAATCTAAGATCATATTTTTTGGTGTAAAACGAACTGAACCACTAAAGTTGATTTGGGTTGCCCGATTTAAATGGATATCATTTGTATGACAGGATTGCAGACAAATCACAAATCTATACTCAACATGCTTATATGAGACCACTTGGAGTAGGTTTGTTTCTACTCCTTTCTACAGCAGTGAATAACCTTTTCTTCTTGCAAAGAACTACATCATGCGACAATTTTTGCTTGATTAATTTGTGTTTGCATATTTACTGATCCTTTCCATTTATGTTTGGTTCTGAAGTTGCTATGGTTTTGGGTATTGATGAAGAGTTCGGACCTCAACTCTATAAGTGTGACCCAGCTGGCCATTACTTTGGTCACAAGGTATATTTCTGCTTGTGTAACTTATTATGAAGAACTCAAAATACACAATATCACTGAAAAACCTTCCCACACTTGTTTACAACTTTCATCTGTGCGTCAGCCATTATTTTACTCATCAACAGACACTCATGCAGTTTTCTTTCACCCCTCTTTAGAGCGCGTTTTTCCATTTATAAAAGCACTTAAGGTTAACTTGCACCACTACAATATGTGGATCGTTTCAACAAAGAATGAAAAGTGTGTTCGTCTTGAGACATCACTATGAGCTCTACTCTGCCATAGTGCTATATCTATCTTTGTTAGAGCATCAATGTATGGTGCTTGTTCTCACTGATCAACTATTATGCATCTTAGGCCACAAGTGCTGGATTGAAAGAACAAGAGGCAATCAATTTCTTGGAGAAGAAAATGAAGAATGATCCATTATTTACCTATGACGAGACTGTGCAGGTAGACATTTCTTATCCTTTGATTAATATAAAGCTGTGATCTTGAGTTATTAGGACCCAATTTGTTAAACAGGTTCATAAGATATTTTGCACGTTTGTGAATTAACTTTTAGACTAAATTTCTTTCTGGAGATTTTAGTGGCTGTTAAATAATGAATTATGATTATGTTAGACTTGTGAAAATAGGAATGTTAATACGCTCGTTTGATTCCTTCTCTGACCTCCCACATATCTTTCATTGTTAGACTGCAATTTCTGCCCTGCAATCAGTTCTGCAAGAGGATTTCAAGGCCAATGAAATTGAGGTATTTGAAACCCCCTTTCAGTGAAATTTTATACTGTTTTGTGATGGGAACTCTTAATGCATTGTTCGTGGCATATTGTTCATAAACTTTTTATTGCTTGTATGATGTGACAGTATCTGATTTCCACATAGGTTTTACCATGTCTCAAAATTGCTTTCCACAGTTGCTTTCCATATCCTATGTTTTATGCTTTTATATCTCAAATTGCAGCAGTAATGACTTTCATCAGATAAAATTTATGTTAATTTTCCATTATCATTTGTTAGGTTGGAGTGGTGGTAAAGGAGAATCCTGTCTTTAGAGTGTTGTCGACTGAAGAGATTGATGAGCACTTGACTGCTATAAGCGAGCGAGACTGAGTCCTTGGGAAAGCTGATACTGTCTGGGGCAATGTTTGGATTTGATAAAATGCTGGACATTTTTCTATTCCTTTTGGAGTATCAGACGTTAACTTAAATCCTTTAGCAAGTTCTTATGCAATTTGGCCGGGACGTTTACTCCTCCACCTGTAACTTTTGTTAGTTGAAGTTGCTGTTGTTGAACTGTTGAATGATTGTCAACTTCATATGTTTTCATGATTTGTATCCTTTTCCAGAATTAGTAGTTGAGTTGATAAACTTGAAACCTCAAAATTCCCTTGGTCTCTTCTGTGTTCTTTGGATGTTGTTATGAGGGAAGGATCTCTACTTTTGGACACTATCCCATGTCCCAAAAAAGAAATTTAAAAAAAAAAAGAAAGGAAAATTATAACATAATTCATGGCTAACTTGACCACTCAGAATCCACACCTTATCCATATTACAGATCAATCACCATTACTTAAATTAGATTGGGTGTTCTTTTCATGTCCCAAAGAAAAATACCATGGCTTCTTACTAATAAAGAGCTATTATTCACAAATCACTGTTATGTTAATTTTCCTAAATTGTTTTGAAGTCTGAATTTTATTTTGACATTAGTGGTTGAAGTAGAACACTCTATTTTATAATTTCTTAACATAGATTAATATTACAGAGTAAATTCTCTAAGGATGTTATAACCATACCTGAGTAATTATTTGCATTAGAATTTTAAAATCGCGTTGGATTTCTAGTGATGTTAAACATTCCCATTCTTATTTATTTATTTATATATTATACAAGTGATATTGGAGAAGGAGGAATCAAACATAGGACCTCGGATAAATGAGTAAATGTTCTTAACTACTTAAGCTACAAACCCCTGCGCCCACTATCCAATTTTCAATAGGTGAGCATGAAAACTTTAGAATTAATTTATCATCATATTCTAGCAAAATAAAGAAATTATTTTTGGTAAATTCATTTTCTTCTACTTGAGAGAAAACGTAGAAGCCAGCGTGTGCGGATCTGCGGCTGCCTGCAGATCTCCACCCGATCATCTGATTCATTCGCGCGGACCATCTCAGTT